TGTTAGAAAATTCAATTCCTTATATGGCCACGTTAAATCCACAATTCCTAAGCCGAGTTCCATCAAAAAAGATGTTAATAATAAATAAATATACAATGGTGTGTACATTTTTTAGCATGCGTTTCTTTTATTATACTCATACTCTGTGCAGTGTACTTTTTAAAATTTTGTATTTTACTATTAATTGATGTGATATGTATGTAGGCATTAAGTAATTGTGTTTTTTATTAATCTAATGATTTTATTATGTTAATTAATGTTAAATTATGCTGAACATTTAAAAAATAAATATAATTTTCTACATTGATTGCTATAAACTTTATTCCACATAAATTATCTGTAATTTTGAAGTTTTACATTTTCTTTTGTAAAAAAAACTACCAATTTAAACAAAAAACGAAAATATATTTTTCAAATCTTGTCTTTAAAAACATTATTAATTAAATATCACTTGATATACAGTCATCTATTTAGTCTTTGTTTTTTGAGGTTTTTATAGGCATTAATCACTTCCTTTTGCTGTTGGTCTAACTGTCTTCTGAGTGCAACTGGTAAATCTTTTCTTTTGCCCTTTTTATTAATTACTTTATTTATCGTTTTCTTCAGTGGATTAAATTTACTTTCAATATTTTTACTTGTATTTTCAACTTTATTATTATTTTCTATCATGGATTTTAGTAGCAAATCTTTCTTGCCAGGCTGAAATTTAGATTGGAATTATTTATAAAATGTAAAGACATTTCTACTGTTTTTCTTACCCTTGAGGCACAACCTAAACTTTCAACCTTTCTTGGAAGGGTTAGTGTGGGAGTATACATAAAATTTAGTAGGGAATTGATGATAAATGCATTTTTTTGATATTTATTCCAAATATTTTATTAGTTTGTACCATTCGATATGCCAGAAATAGTGGTGGTTTTACAAAGCTTAGGATTTCGTATTGAAAGAATAGACGGTTGCTCTCCAAAGGAAGTAACCCCCGTTAGTGAGGGTGGACAGGGGGTAAGGGTATCAGTGAGTTGTGGCCATTCTGGACAAAGGTGTATTTTGGAATTAGGGAGTCAATCCCAAGAGTGTACCTGCGTTAAAGTATCAGACGATATTTTGAGCGAAGGATTTTGGGAAGTAACAGCTACTGTTCCAAAAAATAATCAAGTTAGTAAAAAAACGATTAAAAATCGATGCTTGAATCTTTATGCAAACGTCTCCTCACTTTCATGTCATAAGGCCTTATGCCTTCTTTCTCGTCACTTCCCAAGTTCTACTAACAATATAAAAATATTAAAGATACTCAACAATTGTTTGGCTTTATTATAAAGCTCTATTAGAAGTATCTATACAATATTTTCCTTGCATCAGAATGCGGAACTTTACACCCTAGACTAAAGAAGGGGGGGTCTTAACAAAAACAGGTTGAGTAAGTGTGATATTGAATTAATAATCATTAATTGATCATTTGAAAGAGAATGAGTGTTTTTGTAGGTACCCATTGATTTCCTGAATTTCCAAAATATTAATAACTTTCACTTTCATACTTTAAACTTTCCATTATTATTTATTAAAATTGTGATCTACATCGATTAATTTATTTAACATAATTAGAATTTGAAACTTTTATTATATTTAGTTTTTTATTAATAAAGTAATAATATATGATTCTTTGAAACAGAGTTCATCATTCATAGAATCGGGAAGTGCATTAATTCCACGTATTCCGAAAGATTTGGCGGTTTTAATTCATCAGGTTTTAAATTATTTTTTTCACATGATTCAAAATAAAACCGATTCAAATCAGAATATGAATTGTTCTCCGAATCTTAACAAAATAAAAGAAGAAGAAACAAGCTTACAGAGTATACCTGATTCGGTTCCACTGGCAACATCTTCAACAACTGATTTAAGATTTGGATACAATGACGCCGTTAATCCAAAAATATGCCCGAATCAACCCCTTTCACCTGCTAGGTAGGTACATTCGTTGTATACCTTTTAAATATAATCAAACTTTACCACACGAAAGTTGAAGATACGATTTTTCCAATTATTATGTACTTATAGCAGGTACCGTTCATTGGACACCCTCACTTCAAATAACGCACCACAGTCAGAATTACCAGAACCTGGAGCGTTATCGAAAATTACAACCCCTCATAGAAAAGTTCGTGATTCAATTACGCAATCAAGTCCAGTAATGACCAATACAACTTTTCTGTAATGGCAATGTTATTTCTTATTTGTTTCAGAACATAAAGTTAGCTGTGGATTTAAGGGATGATCCCGTGCAGAAAAATTCGTCAGAAAGTAAAGATTATGAAGTAGTTAAAAAATTATTGAGAGATTCAACGGAATTAATTAATAAAGCGTTGGACATAATAGAACAAAAAGATAAACTTCCTGTATCACCAGGAGGTAAAATTAAGAAACCGCCATCTAGAGAAAGAAATGTTACAATTAAGGTAGGCACGAAACTAAATTTACTTTACAAAAAAAATACTTTTCCTGTTTTTTATTCACACCAGCTACACGTTTTCTGTAGGCGGTTATAAATCAACTTTATGTGCCCTGAACTTCTACTTGCGAGGACGGTTCAATAGCTTTACTTTACAAGAAAATTATTTTTTTCAAATTCCAAGNTTTTATTGCTGCACAAGCTGGAGGTAAATCTGAAGAGGACGAAGAAGCACCTAAAGCAAAGAAGACCTCATTCACTGTCAAACTGACAAAATATGATGAAAAGCAAAAGATACCTCTAATCAAGGAAATTAAAGGGCTTCTTGAGGGTATGAACTTGGTGCAAGCCAAAAAGTTTGTTGAAGGTGTTCCTGCTGTGGTAAAGGCAGATATTTCACAAGATGAAGCAGATAAGTTAAAAGAAGTCCTAACAAAAGTTGGAGGTGTTGTAGAGATAGAATAAGTTTGTTAAGTTTACTTATTTAGTAATAGTTTGTTATTTTGAGTTTTGTGTACATTTTTTTAATGTGTGTAATTGGAGTAAGAGCAGTAAAAAAAATCAACATTTAGGAACTCTTGTTTTTTTCTTTTTTAATATGTAACATTACAATTAATTGATTACAATTAAATAGTGAAAGCAAATTCCTTAGTGGTAGCAAATACCTACAGATGGCGATACACTCTCTTTTGAAGCTAAAATATTGCAATTTCTGAAAGTAAAAATTGCAGGTGTTATAAACTTGCGAATTATTTATAATTCGTTTGCTGGATTTCGATAATTTTGTTTGCAAAAGATGGGGACAAAATGTGTAAAGTCAGTTTATTTGTAACTATACCTCCTTCCCTCCTGTTTGAAGCTAAAACTTTACAATTTCTGAAATAATAAATTACAGGTCTTAAAACATTCATATTATTCATAATTCGCTGATCAGATTTTGGTAATTTTGTTTGTGAAAGATGGGGACAAAATGTTTAAAGTCAGTTTATTTGTAACTATACCCTCAACCCTTACATTTGAAGTTAAACTTTGTAATTTCTGAAAGTAAAAATTAGAGGTGTTACAACTTTAATATTGTTCATAATTCCTTTGCCAGATTTCGATAATTTTGTTTGCAGAAGAACAAAATGTGTAAAGTCAGTTTATTTGTAATTATACTCTCAACCCTTATCTGTTAAGCTAAACTTTGCAATTTCTGAAAGTATAAATTGCAGGCGTTAAAACTTTAATACCATTCATAATTCCTTTCCCAGATTTTGAAAATTTTGTTTGCAGAAGAACAAAATGTGTAAAGTCAGTGGGAGGCTGGTGAACAATTTCTCCAAATTTGATAGTATCTTTTTGATTAAGTCTATCAGAATCAAGTTCTTTGTTATTTTGTTTTTGTTGCTTTTTTTGAAGAAGTTTTTTACGCCGTTTCTGAGATTTAGTTAATCGTGGTTCATTTGTTATTTTTGATTTTTTCTTTCCTTTCCTCACTTCTTTCTTTGCATTTTTTACAAGTTCCTCCAATTCATCTTTTGGTCGTTTAGTCACTTTAATTACCTAGGATAATAATAACTAAATGTCCTAATACATGATTTTAAATGAAAATTATTAATAATTTACCTCTCCAGTTTGTCTACTCCTATGTACCTTTACACTGTATTTATTTTCAAACTCTGTTTCTTGTATAATTGATTCACAAACTTTATTCATTCTGTATATGAAACTGCTATCAGATTCTCCTTTTTCTTGCATAAAAATTGGAGCTGGTTTTTCTTTAGGATCAAAGAAAGTTCTTGGACTATTAAAATTATAAATTACACCATTTGGTAGATTCATAATGGGTTTAAAGTTAGGTTTTGCATCTTTATTATTTTGTTTATCTTTAGATTTTCTCTGAGCTTTCTCTTTGAGTTGCATTAATTCCTGGAGGGATTTGGGTATCTCCTGGTCGTCAGGATTTAAAGGAGGTGCATTAATTTTATCTTTAATGCTGAAAACAACATTTTTTTTGTTATTATAGCTAAAATTTAAACATACAATTATCATACCGAAGCAATCTTTGTTCTCGTTGTTTTTCAGGATCTCTCACTCCTCTATGCTTTCTTCCTGGTATTTTTCTGCCCATTTTTTTAATTTGCAGTTATTGGAAACGTCTTTCTAATTTGAAAAGTATTATATATCTAGCCTATTTCGGAAAACTTGGACACAAGACTTAAGTTTTTGAATTGTGGTTAGAATTTATCATAGAAATCATCTTTTACTTCTTTTTTGTTTAAACTTTGAGTAAAAATACGAATTCAACTCAACTGATCTTAGATGAACGAATTTACTTGGTTGATTTTTAAAATCAATTAGTAAATATGCATACATTTTATCTAGCATTCATATTTGTACATAAGAATGTAAATGCGCAAAATTTTAAGCTCATATGTAATTGAATACAAAACAAGCAAATCATGTGATTGTTCAAATTAGTCCTGCAGATGGTACGATAACCATTATCACAGTCAAAAAAAGAAGTTAAGAAAGAAGAAATAAGCAAAAGTTAGGTTAGGCTTATTTGAAAATATTGGTAATTTAATTAATACATTACAATTTACTGTTTATTGGTGTCTATAAGATGCAAGCGGTAAGGATTTCAGCAAAATCGACTTTTGGGAAATTTCGAAATTTATCAAGATGGTGCGTTTTACCTTTTATGTTAAATTAAGGAATGCGTTAGTTAACCTCTTTTTCTTTCAGTACTTCGTGTTTACAAAACGTGGAGGCCGCAAAACCAACAGAAAGCTTAACGGTACCACCCCCATCGAATGTTGATAAACCTGTATCTCCTAAAATAGAAAAATTAGCCTTTGAAATATCTAGTTTAACTTTAATTGAAGTGTCAGAATTAAGCGGATTTTTGAAAAAGAAATTGAATTTGCCAGATACTCCTGCTTTTCCCGTGGGTGGTTTTATTGCTGCACAAGCTGGAGGTAAATCTGAAGAGGACGAAGAAGCACCTAAAGCAAAGAAGACCTCATTCACTGTCAAACTGACAAAATATGATGAAAAGCAAAAGATACCTCTAATCAAGGAAATTAAAGGGCTTCTTGAGGGTATGAACTTGGTGCAAGCCAAAAAGTTTGTTGAAGGTGTTCCTGCTGTGGTAAAGGCAGATATTTCACAAGATGAAGCAGATAAGTTAAAAGAAGTCCTAACAAAAGTTGGAGGTGTTGTAGAGATAGAATAAGTTTGTTAAGTTTACTTATTTAGTAATAGTTTGTTATTTTGAGTTTTGTGTACATTTTTTTAATGTGTGTAATTGGAGTAAGAGCAGTAAAAAAAATCAACATTTAGGAACTCTTGTTTTTTTCTTTTTTAATATGTAACATTACAATTAATTGATTACAATTAAATAGTGAAAGCAAATTCCTTAGTGGTAGCAAATACCTACAGATGGCGATACACTCTCTTTTGAAGCTAAAATATTGCAATTTCTGAAAGTAAAAATTGCAGGTGTTATAAACTTGCGAATTATTTATAATTCGTTTGCTGGATTTCGATAATTTTGTTTGCAAAAGATGGGGACAAAATGTGTAAAGTCAGTTTATTTGTAACTATACCTCCTTCCCTCCTGTTTGAAGCTAAAACTTTACAATTTCTGAAATAATAAATTACAGGTCTTAAAACATTCATATTATTCATAATTCGCTGATCAGATTTTGGTAATTTTGTTTGTGAAAGATGGGGACAAAATGTTTAAAGTCAGTTTATTTGTAACTATACCCTCAACCCTTACATTTGAAGTTAAACTTTGTAATTTCTGAAAGTAAAAATTAGAGGTGTTACAACTTTAATATTGTTCATAATTCCTTTGCCAGATTTCGATAATTTTGTTTGCAGAAGAACAAAATGTGTAAAGTCAGTTTATTTGTAATTATACTCTCAACCCTTATCTGTTAAGCTAAACTTTGCAATTTCTGAAAGTATAAATTGCAGGCGTTAAAACTTTAATACCATTCATAATTCCTTTCCCAGATTTTGAAAATTTTGTTTGCAGAAGACGGGGATAATATGTTTAAAGTCAGATTTTTAATAAGGGTGCTCATTACTCTTTCTTTTAAACCGAAAGTTTTATATTAGATGAAAGCTAAAATTGCAAGTGTTGTAACTTCCATCTTAATTAAATTTAGTTAGTCAAAATGTGAAGTCAGATTGGTAGGGGTGATGTATACTATTCCTTTTGAATATATAACATTTCAATTAATTTTAAACATTATAATTAATTAGTGAAAGCAAATCCATTAGTGGCAGCAAATACTTATAGATGGCGATACACTGCCTAGATTTGGGCGAAATAGAAGTTATAGTTTGAAAACTTTTTAAAATTCGTTTTCTTGATTTTGTTAGTTTTGTTTGTAGAGATGGGGATAAAATGTGTAAAGTTAGATTTTTTGTAACTATACTACCCCCTGCCCTCTTTCTTCTCCTTTGAAGCTAAACCTTTTCAATTTCTGAAAGTATTATTCATAATTCGTTTGCCAAATTGGATGATTTTGTTTATAGAGGAAAGGTGCAAAATTTGTAAAGCCAGATTTTTTATTGTGCTCATTACGCTTCCTTTGGAATCTAAATCTTTGCATTTTATGAAATTAAAGATTGCAAGTGTTACAACTTCTAATTTAATCGCAATTTGTTTGTTAAAATGTGTAGTCAGATTTGTAATGGTGCTGTATATCCTCCCTTTTGAACTTATAACTTATATTTTTTATAGTCCGTTTGCCAGATTTTGATAGTTTTGTTTGTAGAGGAAAAGCGTAGTCATATGTTTTGTAATTGTACTCTTTATACCTACACCTTCTGATTTTGATAATTTTGTTTTAATTTTTTGAAGTGAAACTTCTTTACGCACGGTAGGGTAAGTTCGTTTCACGCGAGTTGCTATGTAACTGTCTGTCCTCCATGTATGCTTAGATCTTTAAAACTACGTAACGCATTTTAATGCAGTTTTTTTAATAGATACAGTAATTCAAGAGGAAGGTTTATATGTATAATACATGCATAATATAGTAGAGAAACACTGATAATTTTAGAGGTTTCTAATGTGATGTCGTAAATAAACACATTTTTTTTGCGCATACATTGCAAACGCTGGCTGAATCCTACGAGATAGATCAAAATAATATACTACAGTATTGTACACCTTAAAAAGGTCTACAAAAAAGTCCGGGATGATATATGCCTATCTCTTAGGGATAAACCACAATAACCATTTTTTATCCTTTACTTTTTACGAGAAATAATGACTTATTTACGAAGCGATTTTAAGCAATACAGCATTAATCCTTATCCAATTAAGTACATACTTTTAAATACATTGTGCATTTAATATAGATCAATATGACTCTTTACAGCATGTAATTTAAATTAATATTTTCGAAGATATTACAGACTTAAAATACAAATTGTATTATCTAATGAGAAAAAAGCTGTGAATGTTGTATATAAAGACATTCTGTAGTATATTTAGGTGGTGTCTTTTGAAGATTTTTCCTCCTCGAGAATAATCTAAACAAAAAGAAAATATATTTAGTAGTAGTAGCTGGGGCGGGTCGCTAGTCATCTGTAAAAAAAAAGCCTTAAATAGTTCTGGCACATTTAAAAATACCTCGAAAAAATAAAGAGGTCGTAACTTTGCTATTGTAACAACGTAAGAGGTTTGTTTCAAGGAATTGGAATGCCCTGTGTTCCAGTGACTTGTGTTTATTTATTATCAGCTCGAAACATAGCCTGAAAGCAGTTTTTTTTACAAACGGAAATGAATTTCCATATTTTTCAGTCGCTCATTCTGTACATTTGAAAGAAAACTATGAAAGTATCAAAAAGTTTCCTGGAAGCTTTGTAATATCAAGAGTACCTATATGTTAAAATTGAGATTATTACAAGTTAGCTAATAAATTCTAGTATTTCTACGGCAAATTCAGTCATTTACAATCGAAGATTGCAATTTTTGCGTTGTCATAAAACTTTAGTTTTCTCCTTGCAGCGTCAGCCCAGGGGTAGAGTGACAGGAGCGCCAGTTAGTAAGGGGCGCTAAAAAGTCAAATATGAAAAACAACGCGAGCAAAACCGTTGTTAAAACCTAGTAAGATATAAACCTATTTAATTGTATATTGAGAATTAAACCCTAGTTAGGGGTACAATAACGTGGATAAATATTTTACCTGATACTTGTGAGAAGCCGGAACGAACTGTTATTAATATTTAATCCAAGAACTTGATGCCGTACCTGCACCACTACAGTTGTTCACATGATCGAATAAATTGCAAAAACGGAGAGAGAGGATAATTCTACACAGCCGTAATAATTTCTTGTTTCCGCCAATTTCGAACAATAACTACCTAAATGCATTGCGTCAGAGAAGGTCGTTGAAAAAATACAGTAAAAATTAAAAAACATACTTTAACGCACTATGACACAAAAAATACGTGTCTTGTTTATCATTAGGTACATGTACATACGCATACATGTGTAAATATGTTTACATAGTTTACGAAGACTTCGCGAGACCACGGTAATTTCTAATAAATTAGCTCGGCATTGATTTAAGCTAAATACGTTCGGATTTTACTTTATTTTCCATGAATCGTTGCTGTCAACATGTTACTTTACATCTGACTTAGGTATTACCTACTGTTAACGTGCGAACTAGTTTAATAAGACAGCGTCAGCAAGTGATTACTAAATTGATGAAGTGATACACGACTACATTTTCAGTTCAGTTTTGTCAGTTCATTGTTGCATAAATTGGTAAGTAAAATTATTTTATCAAGGCGATAAGAGGTGTAATCAAGATTATTGAAATGTCGACAAAAATGTTTAATAAAGTTTAACATTAAATTTATTGTAATACTTTAGGTTTCAAAGACCAAACTGCCCCACTCTTGGTATTGATTTGGTCTCACTTATTCGATTTTGGTCTTGCTCAAATGCTTCTAGTCTTGGTCTTGGCCTGGCGTATTAAGTCTTGGTTTTGCTCATCACTCTGATGCTTAAGTTTTTCTTTAATAATTCGTTTAAGAACAAATTTTTCTTTTTTTTTTTACAAATTCGAGAACATCGTTCCTCTACCTCATAAACTGACCCTTTCTGAGTAGCATTAAAAGTTGAGAGAATCATTTTAGTACCTATTCGATCATTACTTCGAGATGTTTAATTTATTGTCTGCTAATTTGTTGCGAGGATATGGAAGATCGAAAAGGATAGGTAGTGTTAAAGGATTAAAGTGTCTAACTGATAAATCAACACACACCCCTAACACCTGGGTCTAGAACAGTGGTTCCTAAATTGTGTTCCGTGCTAGGGTCCTAGGGGTTTCGAGAGTGTAAACAATTAAGTGCCAGGGATCTTAAAGATAAAATTATAGCCAATTTATTTTTTTATTGTTGAGATTAGGTTTTGCCAAGAAAAGGTGGTTCAATTACTGTTCCATAGCCAAAATAATAACAAACAATCGGTCTACATACTTGAAATTTTGAGCAGTTAGTCCTTTTACAACGGGGTGAGCACTAAGAAATATTTTTTTAAAAATTCAATCCTTAAAAGAGTAAAAAAAATGTTCAAAGTTTGATATATCGATCAAGACATGTCTCAAACTGCTGAGTGAGGAACATTAAAATTTTACACTAAGGTTCTTGACAAGACTACTACCTACTATAAAATGAATTTTGAAAATACCACCCCTAAAAGTGTAAAATGAGGATTTGATATATAATCGAATTCCACGCGGGCGAAGTCATAGGTAACAGCTAGTCAAACAATTTATTTGCTTTTTAAAATTGTAACAGAAACTTTCGAAAAGTTTCTTGTTTATTGCATTAAATGGTTTTCTTGTTTAACATTTGCATAGACATAAACTGAGACATATGTGTCAATAACTGGGTTTTGCAAAAGTTTCTTATTTGGTTGAAACCATTACCGTCGTTTGTATATCATAAAAATATGAAGTAACAAATACAACAAAATAAATGACAAGAACTATAAAATGAATAGAAATAATAATCAACCACAGATTGAAGTTTATGTAACAAAATATAAATTCATTTAATGCTTTCATAGAAGTACCTATCTAATATGTATTTTAGAAAAACAATTTGAATTAAAGTCATTTTTTCTACTTATTAATAGAATAGTTAAAGTCGATGACAGACAACTATTGAATTGTCCGTGAAAACTAGATCTTTTTGTTGAGATTTTGTCGCTTCAAGAGAGTTGTTTTCGTAAAGTAATTGTAACTGTATTTTTTTGGGCCTGGTGATCTATCAGAAATGTTTAATGACCTCCTAGAGATATCGATCTGAATTTAAACCAGAGAATTTTTATTGCCATACGTATATATACCCGCATATTAACAAAAAATACAATAATTTTATGTAAAAACAAAAGTTTTGTAATTCCACATTGTTGGAAACTAATATCAATTTGATAAATTTTCACCATTCTTCCTATGAAAACGAGACATCTGATCGTTTTGAAACTTTCCATACATCTTGAAACACAAATAAAAATACAGAAGCCAATTAAATTTTTACATTTTCTCCTAAATAAGTGTTTCAAATTTCGTCCATAAAAACGTGTTTATTCGTAAACGTTAATTGTATTGGGTGCAACTTTCTCAAGCATCTTGAAATGCTTGTTGTGGTATGGATTTTTAATCATTATTATTACTCATATATTTCTATGAATAGAAATGATTTAAACCGTCGCAAATTTCGTAAAAAAATTATTGAACAGTACGCAAATTATCAACGGTTATTTCTTAATGAACGATATTGATTTACTAATATGCAAAACCGAATGGGAAACAGTTTCAACAATAGTTTTTGTTGTAAATCACGCATGTAGGTGCCTACGTAATACCGATATACGTAATAGTTCGTGAGTTTAGTCTGATATACTTTTTAAAAACAAATTTGTTATTTAATTAGAAAATAACGTAGGTACCACAGGCCAACGGCGAAAAAAACTTTTTTAATAATTTTAACTAATTTCTATGTAATTTGGTGTGCTGATTCCGAAAAGAATAACGAAAAAGTCGTATCACCCTCCATTTTCTCACATTTCAATATTAAATAAAAGTAAATTTTATTAACCAAAATGTATAACAAATTAAATTATGCTGAACATTTAAAAAATAAATATAATTTTCTACATTGATTGCTATAAACTTTATTCCACATAAATTATCTGTAATTTTGAAGTTTTACATTTTCTTTTGTAAAAAAAACTACCAATTTAAACAAAAAACGAAAATATATTTTTCAAATCTTGTCTTTAAAAACATTATTAATTAAATATCACTTGATATACAGTCATCTATTTAGTCTTTGTTTTTTGAGGTTTTTATAGGCATTAATCACTTCCTTTTGCTGTTGGTCTAACTGTCTTCTGAGTGCAACTGGTAAATCTTTTCTTTTGCCCTTTTTATTAATTACTTTATTTATCGTTTTCTTCAGTGGATTAAATTTACTTTCAATATTTTTACTTGTATTTTCAACTTTATTATTATTTTCTATCATGGATTTTAGTAGCAAATCTTTCTTGCCAGGCTGAAATTTAGATTGGAATTATTTATAAAATGTAAAGACATTTCTACTGTTTTTCTTACCCTTGAGGCACAACCTAAACTTTCAACCTTTCTTGGAAGGGTTAGTGTGGGAGGCTGGTGAACAATTTCTCCAAATTTGATAGTATCTTTTTGATTAAGTCTATCAGAATCAAGTTCTNCTCCGAAGCAACAACGAGTACAAAGGAAAAAAAGGCTTGGATATCATTTAGAGAAGTTGTGACGAAGTTTTTGGGCAATTTAAAAGATCCTAACTATGAACTTATCATATCTAACATGATAAACAATTTTAAAAATCTTGGTTGTCTGATGAGCCTTAAAGTTCACTTTTTGCACAACCATCTTGATCTTTTTCCTACAAACTTAGATGATGTCAGTGAAGAGCAAGGGGAACGGTTCATCAGGACATCAAAGAAATGGAGAAACGATACCAAGGAAGGTGGAATGTAAACGTGATGGGTGATTACTGTTGAACACTTAACAGAGAGCAACAAAATTCTTCGCATCAGGAAAAAAGCTATGCAAGAAACTTTACAAAGAGAAGAGAGAGAAAATACAAAAAAACATGTATCTAATATTTAGTAATCTATTATTTGTAAGAGAAAATTTTAACTTTATTAAGAACTAAATTTTTTAATTTTTAATTATCAAAATTTTCCCCATTTTTTGCACAATGTCATATTGTGGGAAAATTGTTGGTGATAAAAAAAACTGATATCGAATACGATTTCAGCACTAAAAAACACATAAGATAAATTAGTTTAAAAATTGTTGGCCTGTGTACTTGATCGCTAAATGCTCAAAATGGGAGTACCAATCTGCTTAGGTACTTTTTTCTTAACACTTTTTAGAGTTTTGTACATCATCATCATAAGGTCATCAGTCCTAAGACTGGTTGGACACGTACCTCCACTCTTTCCTACCCTGAGCTAAACTTCGCATTTCCCTAAAACTAGAACAATCCACATCCTTAAATCTAATCTAGGTCTACCTCTACCCCTCCTGTTTAGCAAGAAGCAATGCCTTATAGGAACTGTAAATTGGTAGTTACATCACAAAAAGAATATATTTTTAATTGTAACATTGCAATTATATGTTTTGGGATTAATTTTGAAGAGGAAAGTTAAAACATACCCGGAAAAACAGGAAAAATTTTCCAGATTCGATTCTCGTTACTTAATAACTGTTTACATGCCTATAAGGTTGTACAGAACCCTCGGTGCGTGAGTACGACCCGCATTTCTTTTTCTTCAATTTTTATTTTAAACCATACGTTTCATATTAATGTAACGGAATTCTGGCTCGGCTCGGTGAAACATGTTTAAATAAGTTAAATAAAATGAAAACACTTGGTATTATTTGTAAGTTTTGAACATTCATTTTTCAATAGACATATAGGTACTTGCGGTCTAAAGATATTATTCAAGTCATTATTATTGCCGACATATGCCGTAAATTTCACAATATAGATGTCCTGTTGAGATACAATTTAATAATATTTGCTTTAATCTTATTAACGATTTCTGAAAAATATGAATAAAGAAGTAAATTTTATCGAAAACAATTACTTATCGTCCAACACTTTGTCGGCTTACGCACTCACAAAGGGCGTCAAGTGACAATTAATTTTATCTTACAAGAAAATTAAAGTAAAACTACATATGAACGAAAATGATATGAACCATTTCGCGGACAAGTGCTTTTATGATCGAAATATTTTTTATTTATCAATAAATCTTCATTTTCTCAGTTATAGTTGTGGCCTGTTCGTCCGTTTGTCTGTCTACGTGTCTATTATGCAATATTAAGCAAAAGGTAAGAATATTATATTGTAAAGTCACAATTAAAATGTGAATGGGAAAAGATATGGATACTTCAACTGTTACATTTTTTTTATAAGAACTTTATATACGAAGACTTTTCATTAGTGGTGACTTTGTCCGAGATGCAGCTTTGCAATGAGCAATTCCGTTTAAATTGTGTTTTGAGAACGGTCAAGTTCAGCCGATAAATAAAAGTAATAAATTTTTACGATTTGTTTCATTGTTCCGATATATTGATTTACATGAGAAATAAGATTCCAGCCCTGAGTTAGGAGATATGTTAGAGAAGGAAGATAGTGTAGAAATAGATGAACTTGGTTATCCCATAATGAGAGAAGAGTTCGATGTAGCCTTAAAAAATT